TAAAGTGAAGCGCAATAAAACGAGGTATGCCTGTACTTTGGTTAGTCTATAAGGTACAACTATACCCTGCCTTCTATGAGACTCTTCCCACTGGCTTGAATGCTCTGGGCACTCATTCTGGAGAGCATTTGCAAATGCCCCGGTTGGGGTGAATGGGATTAAATGCTTTTCATAAGGGGGCCTTAGACAGGTAAAATCAAAATGTAGCTGGGATGCTAAACCATCTGGTTCTCAGAAAAAGTGTCTGGGATTTATCATCATTAGAAAAGCACCTGCTGTCCCTTTCCAAGCTGGTGTCACTGTGCCAGCTAGGAGAGATCAGGCTTGTATGGGTACATCTGATCTGAAAGAGAGTACCACAGATGAGAACAGCACCTGCTTTCTGCGACTTTGGGCTGGGACTGATTCTGGGAGATCAGCCCTACCTACCAGAGTAATGGGATCACTCCCTGCAGCGCCGTGGTTTCCTTGCAGCTGTCCGATTTGGCTGGCCCGACTCTGCTCGACTCCGGAGATCTGGCAGCAGTGGTGGCCTTAGGGGTGTTGGAGCCTTGGGCAAGAGAGTCATTTGGGGCCCCTTTGAGGCCTAATTTTGATGACCTATAAACAAGTTGGACATTTGTTGCAAAATTTTGGGGCCCCCTAAAGTGTGGAGCTGCTTTGCCCTCCCCTAAGTCCACCACTGCTGATGGTGATGGTGCTTGCAGGCAAATGGAGGCAGGTGATGGGACAAGTCAAAAGGGTTTTCCCCTTGTTGACAATGCGAGTCCTTGTTTTTCTTGTCTCCAAACCAAGGTACAAAAAAAATAAATCTTGGGGACATCTAGGCTGGAAACAGGCCTCACCGTCAATCTTGTCCTCGTCTTTGCAGAAGACGTGCTGTTGAAAGCGAGTGACCTGCTAATCCTCGCAGTCCGAGATTCACAGAAGATACGCCGGGATCTGTCAAAAGACTTTCACACGTCTCGGTGAGATCTCCCAGAGTCAGTGTTGCCCTTTCTGGTTGCTGTGTTAGCAGCATTTGCTGCTTGGAAAGAAGCTGACGTACCAGACTGGAACATCATCAAGCAACACCGAGGGACTCTGAGTATGGGTTATTTAACACACGGGCAAAAAAACAAAGGCTGGGGAGTCGTACTAAGATGGGTGGCCAACCAATATTGAAAAAAATGCCTTGGCATTAACCCAGAGCAACCAAAACCTCCTTTTGCTTGGTTGGGCATGGCCCAAAGTCAGCCGCTCCAATACCAAGCTGTGTCCCGTTGATTTACAAGGCAAAGGAGCCTTGCGGCAGATGAGAGTCAGCTTTGGATCCCCTCTCTGCCCCAACAGTTGATGGGCACCATTTGGGCTGGGGCACCAGACACGAGGTGGACCACATCATGCCCTTTTGTATTTGAAACTCATTGAAACCTGCAGCCATTATTGCCCGGCGAGCCGTCCGCGTTGCTGCCGAGCCGAGCCCCGCAGGCCAGCTGGAAGCTAATGGTGCTCATCCGAGCATCTGGCCCCTCGGTGCAGATATGGTCCAGAAGAACCAGGAAACACAACCGCCTTTAAATGGAAAGTGAAAGGGGCCAGTGAAGTTTCACGGTTCAAGTGGAGCGAGGTGCAGGAAGTCAACACAAACCAGAGGAGCAGCAAAGAGCACATTTGATTTGTCGTTTGTCTTAAAAGCCGCACTTTGGAGACCGCGCTGAAATCAAAGCACTGCTCAAGTTACTGTCCAGGCACAGAGGCAGAGAGAGATCCTGCCAGTCTAAACCAGGGGCTTGCAACCAGAGTGCCACAGCACCCCGGGGTGCTGTGAGATCACAGCATTAACACGATTAGGTGTGCAAACGCCTACGCTTGATTCACAAGATAAACCCAGAGACTTCAAATTATAAATCCAGAGTATCAAAAAAACCATCCTGGTGACCTGCTGTGGTCTCTCTGAGTTCATTGCAACAGAAGAATTGCTCTATGCCGTGGCACACGTGATTTAACAACAAATTGGAATGAACGCATTTAACAACAAAAGCAAGGCCAAGATTGTTAAAAACCCAGTGCCTCAGATTAAAATGCTGAAATCTCGATCGATGGCTCCTCTATCAAGCCAGTCAGCACCGTATCCATGCAACTCCCAGTGCTGGCTGCATTCATCACCACAACCCCCCAGCAGAGGAAGGGAGTGCTGTTTTCCCTGTTACTGTTGTGGAACCAGAAAGAGATGAAGTGACTTGCCCAGGGTCTCTCAGAGAGGCGGTGGCAGAGCCAGGAACTGCTGGATGCTGAGCCACCAGCCCAACCTCTCCGGCAATTCAACCCAGCAGCACCTTGCAAAGCAAGACCCCTACATATGAATGCAGGGGCCTCATTTGAGGCGTCTCCTTTAGAAAAAAGGCCACTTCT